GCTAACTTACGGGTTACAAGGAAGTCCTCGGGCTGATACACATTTGTGGCCCGTATTACACGTTTAATTAATAACTACACAAATACAAAGATATTTAATTAGATTGGACACCATAAAATATTCCTAACAATCTCCCCCTTGGTGTTCAATCGTGTTGAATCAGCATTGCAGTGCAGATATCTTTGTCTTTGTTGTTATTCAGCTTCCTTTATCTTTGAACTCGACTTCTGAGGAAGGCTATCTGAAGAAATCCTTGCAATCTCCCATTTGATGTCTTCTTGACAATTTGATCTTTGATGCCGGGGGTTGAGGGACCTTCAGTATCTTGCATGTAGTCCTTTCCTTCCAGAAGTTCCTCTTGATCAGCTTAGATGAAGTCCGGTGACGCCTCTAGAATGAATATTCTTTGGAGAATAGGAGACGCCCATGAAATTCATCTTCAACAGATTGAGTATCTGACCTTTGTCCCCTCCACAATGTAGTCTTTTTGACTGTTTGGAATGAATGCATTTGAGGAGAACTTGTCGGTGGCACAGCGGAACATAATGATGGTTGACTTGTGAGCGTGGCTGACCATTTGAGTTGCAGAGATAGTAGAGAAGGTGTTGATTTTGTGATGGAGGAGTGAAGTGTCCCAGAATGATTTGTTCAGTGTTAACGGCATGTGGACCACTCTCCCCCTCATGACGATCCGATGAATCGGGACGTCATGCTTTTATTCTTTTATTCTGCGGAAAAAACAGGAAAAACAAGCAGAATGTAAAGAAGATAATGTAGCCCCCCGGGGTCGTGAAGACGCCCGTTTTCATCACTATAGAGAAAAACTCTGAAGCGATGGCCTGAAAATGTTGGTGATTCTTATGTTGCAACAGTAGGACTTCCTTCCAATCATTAGTCTATATCTGCAATAGATGAGACCTTTGGAAGTTCTCGCAGGTCTTTGAAGACCTGCAACTGACTCAAAAAGTGCGTCGGTGTCCTAGAAAATTCAAAACATTTGGGAGTGAGGTAACTAGACACGACGTGATCAATGAAAGTTCAGTGGCATGGGGCTGAGGCCACTGTAGTCAGTATTACTTGCCTCGTAAGGAGGTAGCAATGAGAGATGCGGTTCCCCGTGAAATATGATTAAACACCTGTCTGTTGGGAGACAAGTGAGTGGTCTTAGGCAGGGTTAAGCATGCACTGTTGGACAAGATGCAGTGACTTCTACCCAGGATCTGATTAAATCAGTCCTGAACCTATGGTGATTGTCCAGAGTATTTGAGTGGCTAGGAGTAAATGTTCAATTCATAGCAGGCAGTTGAGGTAGCAGACTCATCATTGATTATTGTATTCTTGCTCACTTGAGCCTTCTGCTTCCTAATGCTCATAATGTTCACTCACTCACTCGCTCACTCACTCACTTACGCTCGGCTTTGTCCCTTGGGTAGGCTTAGTTGGGTTTACTAAGCCATAGGGACATGTTCTCTCATTACATTTTTCATTTTCTCTCTGTACTCCCCCTCAACTGGAGCACTCGGAATGCTTTGTCATTGTTAGGCACCGGGGAGGATAACATTGAGCACTCCCCCTAGAATGTTGCATCCGTTAAGAGATTCCTTGTTTTGTCGGTGTAGGGCGCCAGGAGGAGAAAACTGATACTCCCCCTCAGAATGTGCAAGGATTGATTGCTCACAGCTCGTCATACCCGCCATGTGTGTGGAGCAATCTGAACAAGTACCACACATGTCGGTTTCCCTGAGCTCATCATGAAGAATTTCAGCATATTGATGATCACATAATGTTGATGAGTCAGAGGAGGCTTCAGTGGTTGATTGTTGATTGTTGTAAGATGACCGTTGACGCGAGGTTGATTGAATTATCTACGATTTTCGGACCTTTACAGTGGAGCAAAGAAAAGCTTTGACCTCAGGGTTGACATTGAAAGAATTTGAACAGATTTGCCTAAGTTTTGACCTGGACATCGGTGATTTACAAAGTTTGTCGGAAAACTAACGTTTTGGCCCTCAAAGACTGCGAGTGAGGGCGCGTGAGAAAGGGTTCTGGGGCATAGCCCTAAAATTTATGTAGATCTTTTCGTTAGCTTTCCAACAAAAAAAAAGTTTGCTCAAATCGGATCACCGAGTCAAAAGTTATGGCCAAAACAGTGCGGTGTCACAGAAAATCTCGAATTTTTGAGTTTTTGAGGAATTTCTTCGAAGTTGAGGTTCTCGATGATGAATATCGAGAACAGGTGGGATTAAGGAAAATTCTAAGGCAATACCTCGAAATCCTAATCTCGAGGTTTAAATCTCGAGATTACAATCTCGAGGTTTAAATCCCGAGATTACAATCTCGAGGTTTAAATCTCGAGATTACAATCTCGAGTTTTAAATCTCGAGATCTTAATCTCGAGTTTTAACGCTCGAGATCTTAATCTCGAGTTTTAAATCTTGAGATCTTAATCTCGAGGTTTAAATCCCGAGATTACAATCTCGGGGTTTAAATCTCGAGATTACAATCTCGAGTTTTAACTCTCGAGATTACAATCTCGAGGTTTAAATCTCGAGATCTTAATCTCGAGGTTTAAATCTCGAGATCTTAACCTCGAGTTTGCCTCGAAAAATAATGGCGAAATTCACCTGCAAAACAAACCTCAGAATATCGAAATCTGCAGAATTTCAAAATGTTTGGAACATCGAAAACTTTGGAGTTTCGAAAACCTCATAATATCGAAAACTTGTTGTTTGAAATACATCAGAACATCGAAAACTTCTAAAACTTTTATAAGCAGGGAATCAATCAGAAATCATATAATGTAAAGCTTCGATGAACTACAAAGGATGTCAAAATTCGAATTATGAGTTCCAAGAAACTGCAAACTTTGAAAGATTCAAAACATCTAGAAATTCCAAAAATTTTGAAATTTTTCAGAATGTCGAAACCCTAAACATCGAGTTCCTAAAACTCGAAATTCCAAAACTCGAAATTCCAAAACTCTCAATTTTAAAACTCGAGTTTTAAAACTCTCGAGTTTAAAACTCTCGAGTTTTCAAACTCTCGAGTTTTCAAACTCTCGAGTTTTCAAACTCTCGAGTTTAAAACTCTCGAGTTTTCAAACTCTCGAGTTTAAAACTCTCGAGTTTTCAAACTCTCGAGTTTAAAACTCTCGAGTCCAACAGTATGATTTTTACAAAATTTCGTTCACAAACAAGATTACAGGAGCAAATCTCTACATCAAAGAAAAATAGAAGAAAAGCAGAGCAGTTCTTCGTTAGATCCAAAAAAATCGCAGATAGATCCAACTTGTTTCACGCCTCAGCTCTGATACTAATTAATAATTCCAGAATATAACAATCAAACAAACATAACAAGAAGAATAACCAGATAGAAAGATATCGAGAAGATTAAAACCAAATCTGGTATACCGTATGAAACCCCGTTGCTCTCCATCGAGAAGGAGAGCAGCGGAAACCCTACTCTCTCTATCTCGCCTCTGCGTCTCTAAAGCCTCTCACGATCGTTAGGGTTCCCGTAAGTTAGTCTCCTTATATAGGAGAAGTTAGCTAACTTACGGGTTACAAGGAAGCCCCCTGGCCGATACACTTTTGTGGCCCGTATTACACGTTTAATTAATAACTACACAAATACAAAGATATTTAATTAGATTGGACACCATAAAATATTCCTAACAGAGATAATAAGTGGGAAATATAAATTATTATTTATATTATGATATCACCCTATTTTGAGGGTCCTAGAAATTAAAACGTTGATTATACTCGGTATAGTTATCATTCTACTTGTCAAATGCTTCCGAGTACTGACCTCCCCTTCACGGGGGAGGCCACCTCATAGTTTCAGATAGAAGTTGAAGCTAGCTACCATCGTTGTTGCTTCAGGGAGTTTCGAGAGAGAATACGTGATTCATGCTTCCTCTGTTCTGTTTTCAAAACAATTATGATATTGCTCATGGATACTATTTTTGAATAATTAATTGGGGTTTGTATGCCCATGTTTGCCAAAGTGTGGCATAAACACTTGTGTTAAAATGTTTCCGCTGCTTTAAATGAATGTTTTACATTATGTTTTTTTATGGATGTACTATGTGTGAATTGTATTCAAGACGCCTTGTATAGTATGGATGTGTTGGACTGCGGTTGACTATTCGTACTGTACGGCGGGTTGTTGACGTGTCCGGGTAGGTCTGGGGTAGGGATGGACTCGGACCGGGTGGCCCGACCCGGAACCGGCCCGGGATCGGTACTGTTCCGGCCCGGCCCGACCCGGTGGCCCGGTCAGTGACCGGTCCGGGTAGGCCCGGCCCGTGGGTTTTCCGGTCCGGGCTCGGGTCACCCAAAACAAGGCCCGGGCCCGGTTCGGGCCAAAACCTTTTTTTTCATTTTGTTTTAAATTTTCGGGTTGGGCTGGGTATTTTGGGCCATTTGGGGTGGTTTGGGGGGTTGGGGGTGGGAGGGGGGTTAATTCGGAAGAGGAAAACAAAAAAAATGATAATGGGTCCGGCCCGGACCCGGACCCGGACCCGGTGGTTACCCGGGCCGGTCCCGGGTCCACCATTTCTGAACCGCCGGCCCGCCCGGGCCTATGCCCGACGCGGACCCGAGTCCATCCCTAGTCTGGGGCGTGACAACAAGTACCGACCACTGAGTACGGGTCTGGGTCTATCCTCAAAGGTAAATCCGATCTAGATTTAACCCATCGACATGCCTACCCATAACGGAGCCTCTATTATTAAGCACAAAATAACTATAATATCTTTTGCATTCCCATTTCCCAGACACCCCCAGGACTCAGGGAGCACTTCATTGTAGTAGAATTACTAGTAAGAACTAAGAAGGGAGTGTTAAATTAGTTATTATGATTATACGAGTACTTCTTATGATCATTAGTTTATTACGATGTATGTTACCTCAGGCTAGATAGCTAGTTTCCATAATCATACATATAGCACGTACTATATATATAGAGAAACCGATCTTATTGCATGCCATTGCCAGAAAAAAGTGAAAGAGATAGGCTGCCGGTGCCGGGCGATTTCTCAAAAGCACTTTACACTGTGGATATTGGCCAAAACGATATAGCCGCTGGGTTGAGAGTGGGTTTGGAGCAACTCCGGAACACCACACCCGACATTGTAAACCACCTAGCTGCCAATGTTGTTGTAAGTTAAATTAGAACTCCTTTATACTTGAAAGTGTAAAATAACTTTGACACTTGCTGCTTTTTCTTGATTATATAATATATATGAACCTTGCTGCTTATTCTATGACCCAACCTCAATCAAATGAGTTTGTTATCGCCAGAAGTCTGAGTGTGTGAACAATAAATCACACTGATGGTGATTCTCATGGGAGTAACGAGCTAATGATTCTTGCTGATTAGTTTCTGTATGGTTGCAGGATTTGTATAATAAAGGGGGGCGGAGTTTTTGGATACACAACACGGGACCAATAGGATGTTTACCTGTATACGCGGTGAAGGCCAACAGGGAAGAGTTGGATGAGAAGGGTTGTGTGAGCAGCCATAATGAAGCAGCCATGGAATTCAACAGGCAACTAAAAGACAGGGTTGTTCAGTTAAGAACAGAGCTCTCAGGAGCTGCACTCACCTACATAGACATGTTCCAAGCCAAGTACAAGTTGATTGGGAGTGCAAAGGATCAAGGTAATCTAATCTGTTCCATTCATTGCCCGGCTCATCATAATCATCATTATCATCATAATCATTTAGAAATACATGTAGAGATTACTATACGAGATCTATCATGCTTTTTTTGTAACAAAGTTAAACTTGTGCAGCAGGTTTGAGCCAACCCTGACATATAATTTTGTTATTCACACCAATACCACACGGACATACGCTTACAAAATCACAGTAAAACAAAACCAGTCTAAAAACGTCAACTTTGTATACTCTGTCATTTATAATAATAATATAATGTAATTACATACTCAAATCTAGTGATTTACACTGTTTTTGTATGAAAAACATAGGATTTGAAGACCCATCCAAGATCTGTTGTGGATACCATGATAAGAGATATGATGTTTGGTGTGGGCACAACGGGATAACAAATGGGACAACGGAGGTGTATGCAGGATCATGTGAGGAGCCGTCTACCGTAATAAGTTGGGATGGCGTACATTATACTGAAGCTGCTAACAAATGGGTTGCTCTCCATATTGTGAACGGGACATGGTCAGACCCTCCAATCTCCATCACAAGAGCTTGTCAGACCCAATTATAACTCTTAAGAAGACTCTGTACTGTACAAACTAAAAACAGTTGTGGACTCGCGCACACACATATATGTGGCCACAATTGATACCATTATTCAATACAGCAGGGATCAATTTGTAATTGTTTTATTCCGAGGGATGAACTAAATAAATAAATACACGCACACAAGAAGCACATGGTCTTCTAGTAAGACTTTTCTTCCAGTAACTTATATTTTGGAATTGCAAGGGAACACGCAAATATAATGTTTAGTTACTGGCGATGTCCATCTGGAAGGGCAACTACCCTGTGGAAGGGTACTGATCGTGAAGGTAGAGATCCGTCTTCCTCCTCATCATCGTCAAATTCTAAAACGTAACTGTTGCAATGAGAAAAGTCATGTCATATTTCTGTTATACAGAAAGGAAGAGCAAGTTGTCTTGAGTGGCTGAAGTTGTATAACATAAGCTTGTCTGGTACTGGTGTGGTTGAATTGACTAGATTTTCAAAAATTATGGTTGAAATAGTTGAACTGGCTGAATCATTCAGCTAATTCCGGCTACGACCATGATTTTATACTATACTTTTTCAGGTGATCCCGTTATGATCCTCCATTTGATAGAATTGAAACCAGAACCACAAACACAAGCATATTTAACAGTCCATTTGAGCTCTGATCCTAGATAGATTGGTTAAATTCCGTCAACATCTTGCTGAAATATCTAAATGCAAATCAATTTTATTTAAAAAATCATGCATTTCTAAGTTACGGCCAATAATGCCTGAAAATACAGGTAAAGATGCCATTTTCTTGCTTTTCAGAAGAAAAAAAAATTATTGCACTACCTTTTTCTATTATCATATGACAATGCAATCAAAGTAGACGTTTGGTAGAAAATCTAGTTCATATGGCTAATCAGCAAAAAAAAAATTATAGCAAACGGCACAATCTTACTCATTCATTTTCTAATCGACCGGTTTAATGATATATAGAAGTAGGTAATCAAGAAGTTTAAGGAAAGGGATCACTTACTCATCAGTCTTCTTCTGGAAAGTAGAAGACAAATGGTTGGAACATGAAATGAAGCAATAGATGATGTCAATATCATGATATGACAAAATGAGGTAAACATTACTGCAAACACGTAAACGAGTAATTACCTTACGAGATTGGAGCACTGTTGCTTTGTAGAGGGCAGTGGTTCCTGGGTAAACCGCCAAAACTTGCCTGCCTGGAGGAAAATCTGGAGTGCTACATGGCTCATTCCTTTTCGGGAAAGGTATAATATGTGACCATGGAAGTTTGTACTTTCTGAAATTACCAAAGAGAGTAAAATGTTTGATTCTGTTTAAGCTAGTGGACTTAGTTCCACTATTAAACTAAGAGAAATAATATTATATATCAATCCATACATAGAACAGAAAAAGTTTCTACATTCAATCCAAAAAATACAGTAGAAAAAGCACGTCCATTTGACAGAGAAAATGATGGTGATAGAAAATAGGGAGGAAACTACAAGAGAATTTTGGAATGAAAGATATTTTGGTGAAAAGTAAGAAATTGGTTCAATCTCAATCACTAAATTTTAGATATTTGTTCAAAGTTCAAACTCATTTATTTATTCTTTTGGGATTAAGGCTTGGATGTTGTTGTTCAAACTCATTTAGTTATATATTTCCATTATATAAAGATGACGAAATCCAGACATAGCCTTAAGCTAGAGGCATAAAGCACAATACTTCTATAGGAAAACAAGTTTGCAGAAACACTTGATGTAATTACTATATAACTATAATATAAAGAGTTCAGCCATATTTGGTAGTTTTACAAACTCACAGTGGAACAGCATTCCTCTGACCACCACCTTCCTCATCATCAGCAGGTTCTTCATCCAGAACTTCAAACCTACAGACGTGCACACATACATCATGAAACCTAAACTGTGAACAAAAACAATAGGACAAAAGCAGATCTCCCTGTTTCTTTGTATTGAAACAAAGAATTCGGCGCATAGCTATCTACCAGGTTTTGAATCTGATCTATAATTGTGAAGTAAACCTCATCCCTTGGGGATCCTTTTGAGTGGGTTATCTGGTGCGATAGTGGTCTGTGGGCTGCCTAGACACTTTAGTTTAGGGCAAACCGTTTGGGGTAGGTTTAGGTTCATTTGTCCAGTACAGATTGGGTTAAGGGGGTTGTTGATTGCCACATATCCACTTTCTTCTAGGTTTGAATCTAGTACATACATGTGAGGTAACACCACTTCCCTTAACGAGTTTAATGCACCAAACCCCTCGTGAAATATAAATTTGGCGCATTAGACCCCTTTGATTTAAAAAATGTGTCAAACCCTCCTTTTTTTATAATTATTCAAGCGCAAAAAACCCTCCAAGAACAAATTTTACAAATTTGAAATCACTTTTCTTAATAATATGATTGAATATGCAAGTAACTTTGTCAAAATTACTAAATTATACAAAAAAAATCATTTTTCATTTCTTTGGCATTTAAATTTGTTCATAAAAGGGGGTTTTGCGCATGAATAACCATAACACAAGGGGGTTTGACACATTTTCTAAATCAAAAAAGGCTAATGTGCCGAATTCATATTTCACGAGGGGGTTTAGTGCATTAACTCTCCCTTAACCTATAAGTTGTTGGTGTATGAATTCTCTGAACTTTTTACCATTTGGACACCTAATTTATAAGCAGCACTTACATTTTAGTATCTTTTTCAAAATTGGTAACTTTGACAATGAACCACTCATCTTTATCTGGGTCCTCTTGAATGACCCTAGCTGCCACCTGTGATTTAAATACACGCTTAAACACTGTTTAATTCCTTCAAAATAATAAAAATGCAATCTTTTACTATTATATCCATTTGTAGAATAAAATTTCCCACTTGTGTCATCTTGCAGATATAGTTCATTTTCACTTTTAGCCCCAAGCATTCATTTTTTCCACTTTTGGTCATTTACGGCCACTGACATAGCAAAAAATGACCGAAGATTGTACAAAAATCGGCCAAATAAGTGGTCAGAAGAAGTGAAGAAACAAAAGGTGGTATGGAACCAGTCATGCACCAAGAGTGGGAAAAGTGAAAGTCGTGAACTAAAATAGGAGTGACGTAATAGCCATGAGATCGTAAGTGGAAAATCTTATTTGTAGAAAGGATACATTTATAGCTTCTAAAGTACTGAATTCTGTCTAGAAAAAAGAACCTAATAAATGCTTTATTTTTTCATAAAGCTCAAACACACTTACTTGTTCACCCTTCAGGCTAGAAAAGAACTCCAGCTGATTTCTCATATTGGGAGAAAGCCTCGTGACTTCTGAATCAGCCTTAATTCTTTTCTTTTTTTGCTCATTACTTTCTGCAGTTTATGTGGGAAGAAAATGTTTTAATAGGGACAGCAACATAGAATTGGAAATAATACAAACCTTTTGACATTACATAAGGAAACCAATACATAAGTTATTGAATTATTAATTAAATCATGTTAGTCTTAGGCCAAAATATAACTACATATAAGTTTAGGTAATATGTTAAAGCGTGTACTTTATATAGTTTGTTATATTCACTTCCTTCCCAACCATAGTACCATCTATATGTAACAGTAAATTATAGTAATAAATGTCACCCCTCCCTAATCAGCCCTCAAGTCTATCCACCAAACAAGGGCTTAAAGTCCATGCTAGACACCAACATCTTGTGAGGCCCAATGCAAGCACACTGTAATGATGTTCTAAAAAGTTCAGAGGTCATTGCACAAACCTATTCTTCTCCTCTGTTGCCCTGGAGGCCCCGATGGGATTAATGCGTCCAGTTGACCTAACAAATTAGTAGAGATACTGCAATAAAACAACAACAATTAATCTCCAGTTCTACAATTACAAGGTGCTAGTGTTTATTAGTCCGTCCATCTCACTGATTACATATTTATAAGGAACAACTCGTTAATTGTAAATCATCCATCCTACTTATATTTTTTATTTATTTGTCATTGAAACTTAATTAGCACAGTTAACTTGTTTGGAATGTTTGTTTATGGAATTTTTACATTAGATTCGATGAAAATTAGTTATTTTATCGAAATACTACTTTTTTTGGGAGGGGGGACAAAAAGAGTATTTAAATGTGACCCTTCCACGCAAGTTCATATCACCTAAAAATCATAAGACCATATCTAAAAAGATGAGTGGTGCCGTGCTCGGTGCTCCAGAATTAAGGATGTTTTTTATTCTGTATTAAAATAGTGTCAGTTCTAGACAAGATCGAATTGAATCAAATCAAATCAGATAAGTTTTTAAATATTCTTCAGGTCTAGTTGTTCCACGCGCGTAGCGCGATAGGAAAATGCCTAATATAATTTTGACATCATAATATTAAGACTTTGTTTGCACAAATAAGTTTTTTTAGGTTGGAGATTATACTGTATGAAATGGATTAATATGTCAAAATTGTTGAAAAGTGTTCTAAATGGATTGTTAGTCTTTTAGATGGGGATAGGGTGACTAAAAAATGTGAGGTACATTGTTGTTGAAAATAATATAAAAATGATTGTTAACTTGCCATCTCTTGAGTGTTACAAAGGAAGTAATTCTTAAGATATGACCAAAATAAGGGCAATGGATAAACATATGACTTAATAATTATTCGAATGGTGATGATCTACGTTTCACACAACGGACGACTCCAGAAGCTATAATTATATTCAAATTTTACATCGTAATGACTATAAAATTATAGTCATAATAATTTCAGTCACATCATTGCCCATAAGTTTTAGTTTACAAAAATCACCTTCAGCAATAAAGAGATGAAATATCTGAAAGAAGAAATGAGCTTTATGAAGAAACAATGACTATTACTCAAATAAAAGGTAGAGATAAAAATGTGTCCTTAATGCAAAGGGACAACATTTAATCAATGAAGTGGCTATATAGATTTTGCAAGTGACCATTTAGTTATTTTTTATACTAAGTTACTGAGTACGTAGTATAATTTAAGTAACACTTTGGGGAAAATCTTTAAAACTGATCA